TCGCTTGTGTTCAGTTTAAGATCTGTCTCTTATACACATCTAGATGTGTATAAGAGACAGGTTGAAGATTATAGTAATATGCTAATTAAATTTTTGCACATTCTACGGCATAATGTATTTAAGCCTACAATCGTTTGATCCGTTCACAAGCAGATATCGCTTGTGTTCAATTGAAGATTATAGTAATATGCTAATTAAATTTTTGCACATTCTACGGCATAATGTATTTAAGCCTACTATCGTTTGATCCTGTTCACGAGCAGATGTCGCTTGTTTCAGTTGAAGATTATAGTAATATGCTAATTAAATTTTTGCACATTCTACGGCATAATGTATTTAAGCCTACAATCGTTTGATCCGTTCACGAGCAGATTTCGCTTATGTTCAGTTTAAGCTTAAGTATACTTTAAGGTATAATATATCTAAATATCCTATCGTTTGCTCGTGTTCATAAACAGATATCACTTAGGTTCAGTTTAAGCTCATAATAATATGCTCTGTGAATTTTTAAATATTGTGTGATATAATATATTTTAGTCTAGTATCGTTTGATCGCGTTCACAAGCAGATATGTCTTGTGTTCAGTTTAAGATAATAGTGTAATGCTCAGTAACTTTTCTATGTTCCATGTAAAGAATTCTGGGTTGCTTCCTCTGGTACAAAGTTTGTGGGATACAGTATTGGAATGGCCGTTTCGAGGTTTAGTACTTATTTACCAGTTTCTGGCATAATTTTTAAAATTCTATAAGGAACACATTTAAATAACGACTTAATTCATATTCCGAATACAAGTAAATTGTGAAGCATATATAAACAAATTACTAATGAGTTCTCACCAAATCACTAGAGCTATGGCATAGATAAATCTCAGGTGACAGACGACTCGTAAATGAGTTTGCGAATACAAGAAAGCTTGTACTCTGGAGAGGTCGGCCTAAAGAAATGAGGATGCTTTACATTCTAAGATATAATATATTTAAGTCTCTTATCATTTGATTGTGTTCACAAGCAGGTATCGCTTGCGTTCAATTTAAGATTATAGTAATATGCTCCAGTAAATATTTTTCATATCCAAAGGTATAATGTATTTAAGTCTCCGATCGTTTGGTCGTGTTCGCGAGCAGATATCGCTCTGTCTCTTATACACATCTAGATGATGTGTATAAGAGACAGGATATCGCTTGTGTTCAGTTTAAGATTATAGTAATATGCTCTGTATTTGTATATTCTAAGGTGTAATATATATATGTCTCGCTATCGTTTGATCATGTTCATAAGCAGATATCGCTTGTGTTCAGTTTAAGATTATATTAATAGGCTTAGTAATATTTTGTATATTCTAAGGTATAATATATTCAAGTCCCCTATCGTTTGGTCATGTTCACAAGCAGATATCGCTTGTGTTCAATTTATGATTATAGTAATATGCCTGTCTCTTATACACATCTAGATGATGTGTATAAGAGACAGGATATCGCTTGTGTTCAGTTTAAGATCTGTCTCTTATACACATCTAGATGTGTATAAGAGACAGGTTGAAGATTATAGTAATATGCTAATTAAATTTTTGCACATTCTACGGCATAATGTATTTAAGCCTACAATCGTTTGATCCGTTCACAAGCAGATATCGCTTGTGTTCAATTGAAGATTATAGTAATATGCTAATTAAATTTTTGCACATTCTACGGCATAATGTATTTAAGCCTACTATCGTTTGATCCTGTTCACGAGCAGATGTCGCTTGTTTCAGTTGAAGATTATAGTAATATGCTAATTAAATTTTTGCACATTCTACGGCATAATGTATTTAAGCCTACAATCGTTTGATCCGTTCACGAGCAGATTTCGCTTATGTTCAGTTTAAGCTTAAGTATACTTTAAGGTATAATATATCTAAATATCCTATCGTTTGCTCGTGTTCATAAACAGATATCACTTAGGTTCAGTTTAAGCTCATAGTAATATGCTCTGTGAATTTTTGAATATTCTGTGATATAATATATTTTAGTCTAGCATCGTTTGATTGCGTTCACAAGCAGATATGTCTTGTGTTCAGTTTAAGATAATAGTGTAATGCTCAGTAACTTTTCTATGTTCCATGTAAAGAATTCTGGGTTGGTTCCTCTGGTTCAAGGTTTGTGGGATACAGTATTGGAATGGCCGTTTCGAGGTTTAGTACTTATTTACCAGTTTCTGAAATAATTTTAAAAATTCTATAAGGAACACATTTAAATAACGACTTAATTCATATTCCGAATACAAGTAAATCGTGAAGCATATATAAACAAATTACTAATGAGTTCTCACCAAATCATTAGAGCTATGGCATAAATAAATCTCAGGTAAACAGACGACTCGTAAATATGTTTGCGAATACAAGAAAGCTTGTACTCTGGAGAGGTCGGCCTAAAGAAATGAGGATGCTTTAACATTCTAAGATATAATATATTTAAGTCTCTTATCATTTGATTGTGTTCACAAGCAGGTATCGCTTGCGTTCAATTTAAGATTATTGTATTTGTATATTCTAAGATGTAATATATATATGTCTCGCTATCGTTTGATCATGTTCATGAGCAGATATCGCTTGTGTTCAGTTTAAGATTATATTAATATGCTTAGTAATATTTGTTTATTCTAAGGTATAATATATTTAAGTCCCCTATCGTTTGGTCGTGTTCACGAGCAGATATCGCTTGTGTTCAGTTTAAGATTATAGTAATATGCTCAGTAAATATTTTTCATATCCTAAGGTATAATATATTTAAGTATACTATCATTTGGTCGTGTTCACGAGAAGCTGTCGCTTGTGTTCAGTTTAAGATTATAGTAATATGCTCAGTAAATTTTTTTCATATCCTAATGTATAATATAATTAAGTCTCCTAACGTTTGGTCGTATTCACGAGCAGATATCGCTTGTGTTCAGTTTAAGATTATAGTAATATGCTCAGTAAATATTTTTCATTTCCAAAGGAAAAATGTATTTAAGTCTCCGATCGTTTGGGCGTGTTCGCGAGCAGATATCGCTTGTGTTCAGTTTAAGATTATAGTAATACGCTCAGTAAATATTTTTCATATCCTAAGGTATAATATATTTAAGTATCCTCATATCCTAAGGTATAATATATTTAAGTATCCTATCGTTTGGTCGAGTTCAGTTTAAGATTATAGTAATATGCTCAGTAAATTTTTTTCATATCCTAATGTATAATATATTTAAGTCTCCTAACGTTTGGTCGTATTCATGAACAGATATCGCTTGTGTTCAGTTTAAGATTATGTATAGATTAAGGTATAATACAACTAAGGTTCCTATCATTTGCTCGTGTGCAAAAGCAGATATCACTTGTGTTCAGTTTAAGATTATAGTAAAATGCTCAGTAAATTTTTTTCATATCGTAAGGTATAATATTTTTAAGTATCCTATAGTTTGGTCGCGTTCACCAGCAGATGTCGCTTGTGTTCTGTCTAAGATTATAGTAATATGCTCAGTAAATTTTTTTCATATCGTGAGGTATAAAATATTCAAGTCTCCTATCGTTTGGTCGTGTTCACGAGCATATATCGTATACCGCTCGTGTTCAGCTTAAGATTATAGTAATATGCTCAGTGAATTTTTTGAAAATAAACGGTTCAATACTCGTTAATGCCTCTATTGCATGGTCATCTTCAGACGCAGACGTAGCTTGTGCAGTACGTGACTTTGAAGCATACGCTGTAATATTTCTGTACTAAATAGTGTGAAATATCACTTAAGTCCAGAATTGTTTGGTTGTCTCTAGATAGACATCGCCTGCTTTCAGTTTGCGATTATGGTTGTATGTGCAGCAAATCTTTTTATTTTCTAAAATGTACAATACTTGAGTCCTCATCGTATGTTCGTCTTCATACTTAGATATCACTTGTATTCAATTTATAATTATCATAGTATGCTTAATATTTACCTTATATTTTAAGGTGTGATAAACTAGTCTATGTCTTGAGTCCCTATAGATCGGTTGTCTACAGACGTAGTGTTCAGTGTGTGATCACGGCTGTATGTTCAGTAAATTTGTCAATATTCTATTATGGGATATTTACTCAAGTCCCTCATCGCTTATTCGTCTTCAGACGTAGATATCGCTTTATTTAATTTGTGACTATATTAGTATGCTCAGTAATCTTCTTTGAATTCTAAGGTTTGATTTATTTCTTAAGTCCTCTAGAGTTTAAATCTCTCCAGACGTAAACATCGCGTGTTTTCAGTAGGTGACTCAAGTATTATGCTCAGAAATTTTGCTTTTAAATTGCACGATCTAGTTATTGCCCCATCATTGGCTCGTTTTCAGGCGTAGCAATAGCTTCCGTTCAGTTCGTAGAGCTAGCAAACGGTGTCACTCACAGCACGTCAAATTTCTCAAAGTAAACCCGATCCGTTACATTTCTATAATGATATTCCTGGCTCAATGATAAGATTTGATGATGACATCAAATTGTCTGTATAATTAGCAAAAATCGTTTCTCCATCACTCGTTAATCTTATTTCAACTGGCAAATAAATCCTTGTCGTTTTCAGGGTGGTCGATGACGTCATAAATGGTAATTGTTATCATTTTTTACCAGTAAATGTGTAGTATTTATTGTTTGAGAATTAAGGGCAGTCGAAGTTTCGGGTGATCGATGAGACGTCGCAACTATGAAATGCATGCCATGTATCTTGAAAGCGTAAAGCCATCTAGGGGATTTTCCCATTGCATTACAATGTCGGAGTTGTTGATTGATAAATGTCGGAGTGATGACATTTGAAAAAAAAATAAACTACACACATTCAATTTTAACTCTCGAGTCAAAATATCCAATGAACATCGCGCTGGGTAATATGGTGTTTTTCGCCAGCCCCAAAAAAGTTTTTTTCACGTCGATTTTCATCGGATAAATTAAGATATTCCATACTCTAATAATATAGTTGAGATATTCCTATAATATATTCAAAATTTGATCTCGCCCACGTCTCACCTGGCATGCGGGGAAAACCTGCCCAACGATCCGTCACGAAAGTCCACGGGGGACAGAGCTCTGGCAAGTCCCCCAGTGCCAGAGAAGCTGGCGGAGAGCGCTATAGGACCGGAGAAGCTGTGAGAGAGTAGACCACCAGACCCCGAGGTCTGAGCGACGCCGGGGCCGCTCACTGAACCCAAGGATAGACCCCCTTGGCCGGCAAGGATCCAGTCAACGTCTGCGCCTGTTCACGATTAACCCTTTCAAACTGCAGAATTTTACAACGTAATGATCGTACCGAGTTTCAGTACAATTATACCAGTGCAATACCGTAAGGGATTAACTACTCGATCCTGGTCAAGATTCTCGTTCAATCAGCGACTATTTCATTAGAATGATCCACAATCTCGAAGAAATTCAAGCTGAAAGCGCAAAATGTAAATTAAATAATTTTAAAATATAAATTTTAGAATTCAAATTAAATTTTCACTTCTCGGCGAGAATCTTCTATTTTAATATATTTTAACTTTATTTTAAAAATATTTTAAATCTAATGCATCGCATTTCAAAAACAGCTTCCTGGCTACAAGTGGTATTTACTGAGATATGGGGGCTATGTAGCAATGATTTTATTTTTATAACGATAATTGGTCCATCAAAATGATATTTCTAATCAAAGTGCACTAAATCCATCGAATGTACTGATGAAGGATGTCTCGCCTTATTCCAGGGGCAAAGCAATTCTATTGGCTTGAGTATTAACTTAGAGGTATGTTCTTTGGAAGTATGTAAATACTCCTGCATGTAACTTAGAGGTATGTAACTACTCGTGCATGTAACTTAGAGGTATATGAAACTACTCGTGCATGTAACTTAGAGGTATATGAAACTGCTCGTGCATGTAACTTAGATGTTCGTAACTACTCGTGCATGTAACTTAGAGGCATGTATCTACTCGTGCATGTAACTTAGAGACATGTAACTACTCGTGCATGTAACTTAGAGGCATATAACTACTCGTTCATGTAACTTAGAGGTATGTAACTACTCGTGCATGTAACGTAGAGGCATATAACTACTCGTTCATGTAAATTAGAGGTATGTAACTACTCGTGCATGTAACTTAGAGGCATATAACTACTCGTGCATGTAATTTAGAGGCATATAACTACTCATGCATGTAACTTAGAGGCATGTAACTACTCCTGCATGTAACTTGGAGTTTTGTAACTACTCCTGCATGTAACTTGGAGTTATGTAACTACTCGTGCATGTAACTGAGAGGCATGTAACTACTCGTGCATGTAACTTAGAAGCATATAACTACTCGTGCATTCAAATTTCGAGTAGTTAGTAAGAAGCTATTTTCGAATTTCGAATATTTGTGGATGGGAGAGCATTTTTCGCAAAATTTTCGAAAATTTTTCGATTTTCCCTTCCCCCTCCCCTTTTTTCAAAATATTTTCAAAACTATAACGAAATGAAAAAAAAGCTATGACCAATCTCTAGATATTTTAATTGCGAATCGAATGGTATATGTCTCATCGCTGTGGCTTCAAAACTCTAGGAGGAGATAGGTTTGCCGTGACAATAAGTGTGAATATTCAGGAGAGCGCGACAAAGTCCCGCGCGCATCGCAATAGGCACTCAATGCAGCAAGGATACGAAACTAAACGTTACTGGAGTTTGATTCCAGTCAAAGATGGTGGGAGCGACTGCATGCACACTACCCCGTACGACGCCAGGCGGGTAACTGAACTGCAGCTCAAGCAAACTCTATTTAAATGCTCGGCAGCTAATTTCCCCCTATCTTATTTGTTAAAGAACTCCCCCACCCCCCTCCCTTTCGGGATGTGTCGTGAACGCATAAATCAGCGTACAGAGATGGTGTTGGTACCGTTGGATAGCTCAGAATGTCAGTTTTATGATGAGACTAAAAACCGGAAAAGTTAATACCGTCGATTTTCCACCTAGACGCTCCCCTAATTAATCCACCTTGCATTACCGTCCGTTAGTTTACTTGGACGACCAGGTCTTGGAAGGTTAGCAACAGCATGCTCGGATGATATCATTAGGATGATTGCTTCTTGAAGATATTTCCAACTGTAATCAATGACAGATCAGGCTCCTTAGATATTATTCGATACCTCTTCCGTTTCTTGTGACAAACTATGATCTTTTGACGCAAATCTGTCGCCAACTCTCGAGTTTTAATCATTTAAAATTAGATTTTAAAGATGAAGCAGAAGAATATCATCACCGGAACACAAAATCTCGTAAACAATAGCAAACTGCCCTGATTGGCCAATTAGATAAGGTTATGAAGTTAGTGGAACGTCTGAAGTGAAGAGCGAATTTTGAGGACGTCAAAAAAGTTATTTTTGATTATTTTTGAACATGTACCCAATACTTTTGAGTGGGTCAATTTTTCTATTTGTTGAATAAAATCTAAACAATGCATACTTTCCAATATCCTTTCTATATAATGTTTCTAGCACCATTAGCAATATACTGACCAAATATTATAAAAAATCTCGCACTTTAACTTGAGATATGAAGAAAATTGCAATGTATCCAATACTTTTACGAGCCACTGTAACTACTCGTGCATGTAACTTAGAGGCATGTAGCTACTCGTGCATGTAACTTAGAGGCATGCAACTACTCGAGCATGTAACTTAGAGGCATGCATCTACTCGTGCATGTAACTTAGATTTTTGTAACTACTCGTGCATGTATAAAGTCAGAGGTTTGTAACTACTCGTGCATGTAACTGAGGCATGTATCTACTCGTGCATGCAACCTTTTGGGGCGGGTGCGGTGGCCTTGCGAGGGGCGTGCGGGTTGACCGCGTACTCCAGGAGTCCCTCGTCTGTGATGCGCGGCAGGGAGCGTCGCGCTAGCCGCGCCTGCACCGCCGCCAGCAGCTCCCCTCCCGTGGCCACGCCCTCGTCCATCTGCACCACAATGAGGCAAGTGTACCGATATAATACATACTTCGTAGCCCCAAAACATTTGACTTATGAAATAAGATGTCGTAAGCCAATAATTAGACTCCGTTGTTTGTTCAAGTGTATTTTAATTGAGTCAAGTGTTGTGACAAGCTCACTGGCACAGTCGCAGCTGTGGATGGCATGTCCTCGGACGGTTCGCTAGAAGTGACATATCAGAGCACCAAACCTGATTCAGATCTATATTCATCAAACGCCTCTATTTACAGCGCAAATTTTTTTGCCACCAAGAAATAAATACAATTCAGCATTCAGCCTATTATCTCATTACAGACTGAATGTAACAAATTACGTTTGTCCATACATTTATGATGCCAAATTCAAATGGTCAAAATTAATATCTTTTCATCGAAGGTCTATAATACTTGTTTGGTGACCTCAGTATTTCAAAATTGCAGGAACGAGAATAATTTCCTCACCTCTAACTTCTCGATGAACTCTGGCAGCTGCGGCAGTTTGTTTGGCCCCAGAAACTGCGCGATGGTCGCCATGGCCTCCAATGAGGACTGCCGCACTCGGCGCTTGGGGTCGAGCAGGCACCGCGCCACCCGCTCACCCAGGGCCGCGAGGTCGAAGTCCGAGCTGGGGAAGGTGAGCAGCGCGACGACCAGAAGATTGATGCAGTCCTCCCTGACTCTGGAGTTGCGGTGACTCAGGTGGTCGCAGAGGAGAGGCGTCACAGCCATAGGAGAGGCCGCCTGCAGCAGCGTGTGGTAGACCTTCATGCCCTGGATGCGGACCATCACACGCGGGTCGCCCACATGGCGGACCACAGACCACAGGATAGCGGGTAGGTGGTCTGGGAGGGACTTGCCGAGCACGCCGATCAGAGTGTTGATCACCTGTAAACAGTTTATTAAATTACTCACATTGCATAAAGGGTATAAGTATTTTTTACTAAAATCTTTAGTGATTCTCTCCCATACTTTTTGCATCAATGAAATATTTAAAAATTTTAATGTATAAATAAACATCAGTTGGAAGGCTGTGTTTGTAGCCCAATCACTTGTCAAACTTTCTGATGGCTTATCTTTATGTGTTTAAATTATCCAGCATTATTTAAGATAATTACTGAGTAAATTAGCCTAAAAAATTGTTTACAATGCAAACCATTCACACCTGCAGGCTGGCGTTGACCACCTGGAAGCTGGCATCGTGTCTGAGGGCCTCTAAGATCTGCAGAAGCTGCGGCAAATGTGGCAACAGCGCTGCCAGCGACACGGGCCCTGACAACAGCGCCTGCAGCTCCTGGCAGCCTTCCACTCTATCGCGCCAGTTCTCCTAGTAACGCAAGAAAATCTCATCAATACTACACAAGCTTGATCGTTTATCAAGAATATTTTCAGAAACTGACTCAAATTCTGACATTTGTTTGGATGAATAATTAACCATTTAAGATTTGCACGATTCGAGATTTGCCCCATATTGCCACTTAAGCCTGAATAATACTTGAGAACTTCCTTTAAGCACTGATTAAAATCATGACATTTGCTTGGTATTCCTTAAGACCATGCGAAGTTTGCAGGAATTATAATTTTGACAGTGATTTATTACAGGACAGTTAAGTAATATTATTTCAAATGTAAATTTGGAGTTTCGAAATTGGATTTCCTAGGTTACTCTGTCAATTCCGATGGCTTGAAGCCAACGGACAACCAATAGAAAGAAATTGAGGAATTTACAATACCAAAGGATTCAAAAGTCTCTGAGACGATTTCAGAGATTCAAGACGATCGATTCCAATTAATTAATAAAGAAAGGCACAAACAGCCACCCGGCGTGTCGAGACGCACTTAGCTGCATTTATAATAAAATCAAATTTTTTACTTGTGACGATGCCGGTTAAATGATCAAATTAATAACACATTAAAAAAACTTGCTAGAAATAATAAATCTCAAAAATAAGTTTTATATAAATAGGGAGAGAATATATTCGATGGCAGAATTAAATTGAGCGTGCATACAAAAAAATACATTTCGTTATTCAGCAAACAGTTGACGGAACGCTTCATAAAAATGGCTCGTATGAATATAATTTGCCCAAGCTTCCCATTCGTTCATGGCCTTTCGAGGGCATGGCCTTTCCAGGTCAGTCGGTGACATTAAGTTGAACTTCCCACAGCCCGCGCCTGAAGATCATCAGGCTCCCTGTAGACGCAAATTACAGCCATTTGCCTCTCAGGCAAAGATGGTCGCGTGCTCAAGAAAGTTGTCCCCTAGGAGCCACTCTTAGGATCCTCCAAACACTGTAATGTTTACTGGTTAAACCGCCCCAGCAAAGTGGTGCATCATTATATAAAAATGCTATGGTTGTTTTAATGGTACACAAGCGGGTTAATTCAACGTAGCTAGTGTAACCGCGCCTCATGCATTGCTCATTTTTGTAAGGCGATTTTCCTTGTCATTTTTCTGCGATCATTCAAACAGTTATTTCTTATATTAATTTTGTTCTGTTAAATTTGTACTCATTTGTTATTAATGTTTTAGTCTTTCGATTTTACTGCCTTTAGAGAAGAAGCCTGTTCACCCTGATCATCCGATACTCGTCACTTTCATTCTGTCAGTCGTGAAGCATTTTGCACTTCATTGTTGGTGAACCTTCTGTGAAAAGTTATATTGAGGCATTCAAATTTGAGTTGTAATATGTGTGAATTGTAATTTTGTTAGGAATAACTATGGTTAAGTATTGACTCGTCAGGGAAATGATGGTGTTGGCCAAGTCCAGCAGGTTGGATTGCTCTGCCGGATGAATGGTCAGACATGGCGGGGGGGGGGGGAGTTGTAGGAGCTATCAAGCAGCTGCCTCGTGTACGCGAGTGAATTATTGGAGCATGCAGTCCGCAGTCGAACGGGCATGGCGCAAATTCTGCCGGCGAAGCTTTGGCCGGCGACGCTCGCACAGCAGAAATTTTGTTTTTCAAAAAACCGCATGGAATTCCTCCACGCTTACATCACCCGAAGTCTCTGTATGACCTCTTCCCACGAGTTTATCTGGCAAACACCACAGCGCTCAAAGATCGCTGCGTTGAGCGTCGACTCACTGGCGCCAAAATGGCTCCCTTGTTGAACGAAGAAGGGCGGCATAATTGCGCCGCGTATCCCGCCAGATGGAGGCTACAGCAACGGCAGCAGCAGGATTGCCGCGTCTGTTCGCCCGCTGGAGCAGTCCAATCCCCCGCTTCGAGACTACATTCATCGTCGAAATATGGGTTGGACACTCGTTGGGGTACCCGAACTTTGCATGCACGAATGACGATAGAGTGCACAGGTCAGTTCAGTGTTATAGAGTTGCACGAGGCCATTGACTGATAGTGCCAACCATGAGTTAAGCCGACATAGTCGGGGCGAATGAAGATTTTCACGTAAGACATCGTCGAATCCGCGCCACGGACGACAGGTATCGGCTTTGCACGCTGGCACCGGGCGCACACATGGTACCGTCCACTGAAGTCGATGGTCGGATATTGCGATCTCGATGATGTCGACTGGCAAACTTTGAAAGTCGGCACGCGTGATGACAACGTCCAGCAGTCCGCTCTCGATCAGGAAGACGACATCTAGTGAATGCGAGCGACCAATGTGAAGAAACTCTTCAACCCTGTTTTTCAGCGAACGGATGTTGAGGCAGTCGAACGAAAACCGGCGACACGGCTGCACACAGTGGCGAACACCACGAACGCCAAGCAGGTTTTGAGGACTATGGGTCGACATAGGCCGATGCTCGGCAGCAGCATTGCAAATGATTTCTGGCGTAGCAACGGCCTATAACGAACACTCCGTTGTCGCGCAATGCTCGATATAGGCAGGCAACAGCAGGCAGGACGCCTATTTCGGCCAGAATGGCATCCATGATAAGACGTGCGATGCGTGGGGACGTCGCGAAGAGTGAATCTACTTTCTCCGATACGAATATTTGTAGTTTCGAAAAAACCCGTTATCTCTAACCTATCATCTTGAATCCCGCCATCCCGAATTTTATCATCCAAAATCGCAAATCCCATCATCAAGATTTCAGGTCCAAATAGTACCTCAACACGCTATTGCGGAGCGAGCTCCAATAGGGCTGTACATTATATAGCGCTATTGGAGTAGAGCGCCAGGCTTCAAGCACACACAAATTTTGTAACGTAAGTAATCGATGTTTTATTTATTTTTTTTTTTTTGAAATAGCAAAGACTTATTATTATGAGTAGAAGAAACCATTAACTGTAACAAAGGTTTCTAACTATTTTCAGTCGCTTTCAATGATGTACGGCGAAAAATTAATCGAAAATTCCGACTAGGTCATAGCAGATATTAAGGTTTCTAGCAAACACTGCGCGGATGCACAGAAACGGATATTGGTTATAAAATACAGGCATGCTGGTTTCTCAGCATGCCTCGTGTTATTTCATACTGATAATCTTGATCTTTTCCTCTTATCAGAATGACATGCGTATACTCACACAGTTATCTTTCATGGCGAGCATTTCCATCTAATTCGCTTGTTCTAAATGTTCATAATTATTGAACGAAATCTAATATCCAAGGTCAAGACTTCACTTAATATGAGCACGATATCTTATAAGGAACTGCATTTATTTTGGCCTGAATGAACGAAGTTGATCTGATATCTTCACGTCTCGCAGTATAATATTATGAAGATGGCCGGCAACGATATGGTCTTTTTCGGTGAGGCGTGCAGGCGTTCCTTCGCCAAGATTTTATGTTAAGAGAATTGGGCTATTGTGAAGTATGAAATAACCGCTTCATGTTCTAACATTTTTTATTTTCGGGCCGAAAATTTTTTGGCCCTTTTAATCATTCGGTTACTTTATAATTATATATACGCATCCAAAATGGAATGAAGTGTAGTTAATTCGTGCAGCGTTACTTGGTGAGATCTAAAA